CGCAGAAGGCGGAGACGTTAATTGCATTTGCTTGTGCACCTGGAACAACAGCAGATGATGGAAATAATGAAGAAGAAAATGGTTTATATACAAAACATCTTTTAAGACGTCTGCAAACACCAAATAAAGATATTGAAATACTTCTACGTCGTGTTGGAAAGGATGTGACAACTGAATCAAATGGACAACAAATTCCACATGTGACTTCGGCTCTAACACACGATCGTATTTGTTTATTTCAAGGAAAAAGAGGTAATATCTTTTCAAGAAAAACATTCTGAAAATCGAACGTTAAAATGACATTTTGTCGAAGAAGATTTCTTTTTCTTTTTGAAGAAACTGATTCGAAAAAATGGAAACAAAACGCACAAACTGTAGCAGGAGGAAATGGAGATGGAAAGCAATTAAATCAACTTTCAAATCCTCATGGAATTTTTCTTGACAAGAAACAAAATATTTTCGTTGTGGATTTTTCTAATCATCGAATTATGAAATGGAACAAAAATGATAAACAAGGAGAAATTCTTGCAGGTACGAATGACATCACAAGTTCGAGTAAATGTTTAGATATAACATGAATACCGTTTGTCGTGTACTCAAAAAGTGAGTACACTATAAGAGAATTCCTCCGTCCGTTTACACAAGAACTTTCGAATGAAGAGACACATTGTGCTGAAATTTTTTCTACAGTTCAGTTTCATAAATATCTATGATTTTTCAACAAATGACTCAGTTATCGAGAAAATATTCATTTTTGTCTGGAACGTTCCTATGAGAGCGAATACCGAGATCTTTTTGAAGTTTACTTAACTTTTGAATGAAGTCCGAAGTTTCTATATTTAACGGGTGTACCATAAAGAATGGCCACATTTTGATTTTGTAATTGTTTCGTCAAGCTTCATTCAAACGGGACGAATTTTGTTTTTAAAGAAGCACCATTGAAGGTTCTATCAAGTCATGTGAAAACAAATTTTCAAAAGCGCAAAACAAAGGTATACTAAAGGATGAAATAATGACACGTAGAAGCATCAACTTTCCAGGGAAATACGTGTTCTTATCGTATTGCCTTAGTCTCACTTCCAACTGTGAAAAAAGTTGGCAGTATCATTTAAAAGTGTAGAAAATTCTGCACCAAAAATTCATATCCAGTAGTTTTTTGAATATCATTTGAACAGAAAGCAATGAAGTTCGTTTTGGGAGACTTTTCCACAAACTATCACTTTCTATTTATGTTTTCATTCGTTCATGTCATACTTCGTTATTCAGTCAAAAATCATTCATCTTCTGCAGGCTTCTATTTTTTTCTGGAATTTGTGTTCTTGTCTATCGAATCCGCATGTTTTTTTTTAACTCTGTCGATACTTACATCAGCTTGATTCCTATTGAAAACATCAAACAAGTCCAGTTTGCAGCACTTCAAATAAAACTCAATTTTTTCCTCTTAATCGTGCTAAAACAGGCAACTCTTGATGCGTATGAGTAAGGACACTCTGCATAGTACCAGCTAACACGAGAGTGAAATAAATAAATAAAGTTACTACTGTTAGAGAAACTAAAAGTTTTGCAATCTTTTTCCCTGGAAAGTAGATGTTTCTACATGTCATTACTTCATCCTTTAGTATACCTTCGGTTTGTGCTTTTGAAGAGTTGTTTTCACACGACTTGGTAGAACCTTCAATGGTGCTTCTTTAGAAACAAAATTCGTCCCGATTGAATGAACCTTAACGAAACAATTACAAAATCAAAATGTGGCCATTCTTTATGGTACATCCGTTATTAATTACGTACT